GAATTACTACTCAAATCTCACTGCAGCTAAAACCACAAGACCACATCTCATTTTAGCATGTGTATTTCCATGGAATTACCTAAAACAGAGCTCAGGACTCCCAAATCCAGATGTCACTTGTCATTTTCAAACCTGCCAAGCTCCAGAGTAAAACAGAACTCTAGTTCCTGACTGATAAACTTAGGCTCTTCAGAGAATCTGTCACTGACCTTAATCTTAGGTGTTTTTCAGGGTTAAATAGCTTTTTAAGACATTTAGATTATGAGGAGGATGAATACACACCTCATTCGATCTTGAAGAAGAGCCATCCATGTAATAAGACCTCTCTGGGGATAACAAACTTGGTATTGAGGAGTTATTCTGTTTATACCAATGACTTGTTTATGCCTTATTTTAGAGCACTACACCTGCAACACCAATGGCAACAAACTATCTTCAAAGGCTTTCTGTTGCCTAACTTCACTAAATTCAACTGCAAGTTTTTGTGGTATCTTCCCATGTTTTACCTTATTTGGGAGACATGTACAAAAACATTAAAAAGCACATCAAGGAGCCTGTCCCCAGTTAGGCAGTGGTTGCCTTCTGCTGCCTTCTTTCCTCAGCACTTTCCATACAAAACTTGGGATGAAAGGGAAAATAATGAACTCCCTTAACTGGGTGTATCTTGTAAGTTCAGGCTTGATTATTTGGATTAAATCTTTGGAACCTTGAAAGCCTATGATACTATAAAAAATAAACACATATGGATCAGCTGAATGGGACAATCAAGTCAAAACCATAACTTCCAAATTCTTATGTTTGGCCAATTACTCCCATAAGGCCCCAAAGTTTATAAAGAGAAGGCTAGAATGGCAACTACATTGGATTTTAGGGGGGAGTGGGGGGGAGACAAGGGGGAGGGATAAATCAGACATATGCTTTAATGGAGCTATAAATAATTATTCATAAATATTCATAGTTAGTGTTCAGGAAAAGCAAGCCTTGGAAGATCAAGAAATATGTGCCTTGATTTTTTTTCTTTTTTTCTTTTTTTGCGAGCTGGGGCTGAAACCCAGAGCCTCGCTCTGCCATAAGCTATATCCCTCACCCCTAAACTTTGAAAATCTTAACCTACTATGGCAGGAAATGACTCACGTGGCCCAATATTCTATCTACCAAATAATATTAAAATGTAAAGCAAATTGAAATCTTTGTCACAGAGACTTAATGTTGATTCTGAAAAATACACAGATTACTTATTTTAACATAGATCAAGTACATCATCTGTTCCTATGTGCTTCCTCACCATAATATACTATTAAAATAAGTGTTAAAATAGCATTTCTAACTCACACCAAATAAAATTAGTAAAATTTATATTTTCAATATTTATATGAATTGTACCTAATTAAGATTAATGGTCAATAGTTCCATAAAAATTATTTTGAATAACTTAGCATCCAAACTGTTTTGCCAATATTATATTGAAAACCACAGGTAATTTAGTTGAGCTTTTATTACAATAATCTACTACTTAAAAATATAGTTGTCTAGAGACAATCCTTCAATAGCTTCTATGATCTGACTGCAATAATTATTGCATATTTCATTAATGAACAAAAAATAAAAGCAACAAAATGCTACTTATTCTTTGTTCCTGTTGAAAAAACCCCTTGCACTCTAATTGTCTTTCATTACCCATGTGTACAAGTTACACATATTTCATAATAAAGGGGATTTATACTGGTAGAATAGCCGGTGTGATGTGTTTGCTATGATTCAAATTAGCTTCCAAAAATCAAAGAGCTAATGCAATTAAGAAATATTCTCTAAAAGGCATATAAATTAGAAATTTATTATGATAATAACATTTTTCTCACCTTGAAGCCATTTAATTTCTGGTTCAGTTTTGGTCTTCTTATATCATTATTTCGATGCCCCCAAACTACATTCATGGGCTCTTTAAAACTGTCCAAGAAATGTAGCAGAGAGGGAAAAATTGGCTTACTTTTAGAATGAATAATTTAAAATAGGCCTACAAGCAGTCTGTGAAGACTAAAATGATATGGTCTCTTAGCTTTCAACATAAAAGGAGTTAAAAGGGTAAATGAAGTTGTGTGAACATTTATAGTTCTTCAGTTAACTATTCAAGTCCAAAAATGTGTTATCTATTCGAATATACTGCATTTACTTTCTAAGTTGCACAGTAAAAATGCAAAGAGCAATCCAGGTATAGATTTCACAGAGTGGTATAAAACTGGGTGACAAGAAAATAAGAACACTCAGTGAGCTTCTCCAACAACCTTGGTGTTAGAGGGGACATACACCTGTCAGCAGCTCTGTTACCTTAGGCATTCCACTTAATCTATTCAATTTTATTTCTATAAAACACAGGTCACTGTAATAATGCTGCAGTGTATGCACAGCAGTTACTCCATACACGCTATCTGAATGCTGGACAGCCTATAGACCAAAGGAGTTAAGAACAAAGACTTTGTAGGGAGGCTCGTGTCTAGTTGTCGATCCAACCACTCACCAAATGAATGACTGGTAAGGGGCTATGTTTTAATCTTTGAAAGCTTTAGATTTTTCAGGTGGAAAAGAAGGATATTTAGTTATGTCTCAGATTGTTGTGAAAATACAACGAGAGAAATCTTTAACACACTTAGCTGAGTTATCAACATATAGAAAGTACTCAATAAATTCTATCTGCCATTAATGAAGTTAACAGCATTTTATACTTCTCTTATGTTGGAATATTAATAGATTGGTCCTCCATAGTTAGGGTGACAAACTGTGCTACTTTCCCCAGAACCGTCCTGGGTTTAACACTGAAGCCATGTATCTCAGGAACTCTCTTGGTACCTGAAAAAGTGGGAGCATTGTTTTTCTGAAAATTCATCTATAATCCAACCCCAAAAAAACCAAAACCCCTAACTGATGAGCCCCTTGGCCTGATTGGTCAGCTAAAAATGTTGTGTCCTGGTCCTCATTTTTCCAGGGAGAGAGCATTCAGGCTACTGAATTCTTCAGTATTATAGATTCTAGAAACAAAGGACTATGGCTCAGAGCAGTGGTATTTCTATGCTGTGAACCTTGTCTTCCTTTTGGATATAGGAGCCTAAAATTTAACTTTAAAGAAATTTTTTGACTTGCTGCAGTCTTTACTGCCACACGAGGCAGCTAAACTGTGCTTCTTTAAGTCCTAGAGGAGAAGAGTAACACTGTCTGCTGCCATATCTTGCTAGAAACATTCTCAGTCTTGCCTCTTCAACTGTTTCTGGGCATAAGGTCAACTGCGCAAGGCATCTCTGCACTCCGTCTCCAAGGAAGGCTTGCAGATGATAGCACCTCTCAGCCAGCAGCCTGAGCTTACAAAGATGCAGTGTTTCGCTGTGTGCTGTAGCAGGGTCATGAAAGTACACATTTCATGCATATTTTACAGTGTATCACATGGATTTTTTTGTTTTAATTATTTAATTATAGCTTTTGGCCAATAATAATATCTATGGATGAAGAATTTTTACATTTGTCTTTCTTTTGGATAAGTGAATTATGTCATGACACACTTCCAATATAAAATTTTTAAGACTTACATTACACTAAAATTTATCTTTCAAATCTAACTAAATTCTTCTGAATCTAAGAATAAATACACTTGCTGTTTTTCTACTTCTAAATGTAAAGCAGTTTCTGATACCTGAATTAACAAAGCAAGACAGCCATAGATCTATGTAAAATTCAGAGATCAGAACATCTTGATCTCATTGAATATTTTAATTTTATAAAATCTTTTACCTAGTATATCAGAAAAGATTCCAGAATATGTATATCATGTGCCTGAATATAAATATAATTATATTTTTATAAATCTAGACTAAAATATGTTCTTAAATATTTGATTAAATATTATCTCCCATTTTCTCTTTGTAACACTGATACACATAACATATATGTAGACATACTAAGAGTTAAGGATGATATATTTGGAATTTGTGCTTATTAAAATAGACTACATTAGTGTGTAACGAAAGGAGGTCAAAAGTAAGAGGTCTCCATTGTCATCTACTATGCACCAGTGGTGTGAGTGGGAAAAGCTCTTTATCTGGATAAACTCTGTTTTCCTCAGTATAAGATAGGTAAGCTGCTGCTCTCAAGACTAAGTTGGAGGATTACAATGGGTCAGAGATTAACTTGATCAACCTCCTTTCAAATATCGTGAAAATGTACTTTTATTAAAGCCTTATATACTTTTAAATATTATTCAGAACAGTACTATATTAAGCTGAAAACTCACTCAAATATTTACTTATTAGGCCACTTAGTACAAGAAGCACAAAGTGTGTGGTTGTCTTGCAACCTACTTGAAACTCAAGTGCAAAGACCAAAAATAAAATGTGATCCCAACAACCACAAGTAGGAGGTCAGCAATGTATCAATAGAGCAGGCTGAATTATTTCCCTCTCTTATATTTTTCAGAAGGGTAGAATTAATGAGTATTACAACAAGATTGAGACCAAGAGAAGTAATACTTGGGTAGCTGCTGTCAAGATGTACGGTGGAAAAGGGGTCAGAATATTCATTAAGCTCTCTGCAAAGTAAAAACCAGGCATTTTCTGCTACTTTGAAGCAGATAATACCCTCAGTAAAAGGAAGAATTACATCCCTATGACAGCAGGTGAATGCAAACAAACAGAAACAAAGAATATGCTATACATTCTTACTACGTAACATTAATACATAATAATAAAATTTTCAAAGAGAATTGTTTTCTAGCTGTTGGTATGTATAAATAAATTTTGAGGCAAAAACTTGTCTTAGTTTTAAAGTAATGTTTTTCTCTTTGATGTGAAGTGTGCATAATGTGAAAGAATTACTACCAAGTGCCTACAAAATAATTTCAGGAAATAACTATGTGTCAAATAATTATGCTCATTATTTTCAATAAATATTTATATTGTGCTTGTATATTATAAAAGAAGAGATAATATTAAATGTTAGAAAATTGCATTAATATTTACCTTTTGTGGAAGAGTTATATTTTTCTTGTTCTTCAATGAATTAAATGCACATAATGATGGAAACAAAAGAAAGAAATCAGCAAATTTATAGTTAGACATGGAAATATGAATCAACACAATGGTATGAATAATAAAATGCATAACACATAATATGACATGATAAATTGCAATGACAAACCAAGTCTCAAATATGGTACTAAAATCAATCAAAGAAAGAATGAATACAGTAATTTAAAGATTTAAAACAAAAACATTGGATATTAATATTTTTTGGCATTTGTAAAGTATATTCCACATTAGTTTTTCTTGCCTTTCAAGAATTATACATTTTAGCACCAATTTTACCAAAAAAATTTTAACTTAAATTCACTGTTTTTTTAATTGTAAGTATATTTAAAATAATCCTTACTATTCACAACAAAAATTTTATCATAAGAATATTATTTCATATGTTTAAAATTTCATCTGATAAATAAAAAGACCCATTTTTACTAAGTAGTGCAAATTTTAACATTTTACACATGGAAAAACATAATTTCAAGAAATAGCTACCTGTCAAGTAATTTAAACAATCCTTTTTGTCTTTCTCCAGTTAATTATATTAAAATACTCCAAAGTCAAATTACTTGGTTGTTAAAGTCTTCATAGACACTTCATAAAGATTTATATCTATCTCCTTCCTGGCATACTATTTACTGAGGAACCTGGTCAATCTAGGTACATCTGAAGAGGAATAGGTACCAGATATAATAACGGATATATACAGCAACTAGAACACTAATTTTTAATTTATGAGTGATCTTCAAATGATTCTATGAAGACATCCATTTGAGTACACATACATGGACACAAATCAGGTGGTTGGCTTCAGGAAATCATACAATTTTTATTTTTGTTTTTAGATGGGGTTTTACTGTATTGCTCAGGGTGGCCTTGAACTCTTGGGTTCAAGTGATCATCCTGTCTCAGCCTCCTGAGTAGGTGGGAGTATAGGAACTCACCACTGTGCTTGGCTAAAAAATTATACATTTTATAAAAACAATTACGTTGGATTTAGCTTCGCTCTATGTAAGACCTAGACTGGAATACAATGTTGAAATGCAATCAAAGAGACTTTCTGGAAGTCTCTGCTCTCACTTTCCACATATTGTTAAAGTTACGTAAATTGTAGTCTACTTTTCCAACTACTTTATCTCAAAATCTGATTACAGTCATCTCTTTGTTTTTCCTATAAATCTACTCTATAAATCCAGACTTCAGGTATAAAATAGGTGAACATCCTCAATTTTTAAAAGAAAGTTCAAAATGCTTTTTTTTAAAAAATTAAGCAAACATATCCTTTAAAATGCTGTCAGTCTTTAAAATAAGTGATACATTGCTTTTATGGTGTATAGAAAATCTCATTTATTAGAAAAACCATGTATTCAAACAATCAAAATGTCCCAGTATAAATCCTAAAAACAATAATGTAAGTAACTATATATGGAAAATACTTGAATAAAATTATTTTATACATGTATCAAGAAGTTCTACCATCATGTGAAATATCTGCTCTTACCAATCAGTTATGAACTCAATTATCTTTTAGTAAACAGAAAACTACCCTTTGTTAAAAATCAGACAAGACAATCAGAAGGAAGACAAGTCCAGTACAGGCTTAAACAACTGTGAATAAACTGCAGTCAGTATTAATCTTCATAGAACATACAAGTGAATTTTAGCAAATTATATCAAAAGAAAATTACTAACATTTTTCTCCATCCTTAAGAACAACCGTGAAATCATTCTTACAATTCACTGAATAATGTCTCCTGAATCAAATTAGAAATCAACTTTTGAAAACGTATTAGCTATCATAGCTGTCGTGTGAGCTGTTCAGTTTGAAAGAGACCTGCAGTACGATGATGGCAGACACCGTTATCATTTACCCAAAGTCCCCAAGTGCATTTAACATCATAAATTATACTGCATTGTTTTATTTCTAAAAGAACCCACAGCATAGTCATACATGCTTGTGATCACATTTGTAAAAGCTTTATCTCTTTAACTTTTAAAATCATATATTTATTTCAGGAACCTCAAATAACCAAAAGAGTTCACTAATGTATTTGTGATACTAAATATGAAAATAATGTCACTCTCGGTCATTCCCTTCTTCCCACCTCAATTCAATCCTCACACATTGATGATTTCTCTGAAAGACAACTGTGAACAGGAATATCATAAATAGTTACATTGGTATCAACAGAAGAACATGAGATTTTTTAAAAAATAAAAACTAAAATCCAAGTGCAATTCAAGTGATTTGGCACAAGCAATTCTTACTCCTCCAGAAGTAACATAATTTTAATCTCACTCTGTGAGAATTATATGCAATACCATTATATGCTTTTGAACCTGTACAGGGTTTTACTTGCAACTGTAGGAAATGCAAAGAATTTTAGGAACATAGGACTTTTGAGTATCAGAGTGACCCAGTAATATTCAGTATAAATACCAAATTTGTGGTTCTTTCAGTTGTGCAACAGGAGTTCATGCATGAATAATTCAAACACACACCCACATTTTTGTAAAAAAAAATCATCTGAGTTATTGCTAGTTTTAATAACATTATGAATAATCTTCTCAAAATGTTCCCAGAATAGTTTGTGAAACATATGAATTGATATTCCAATAAATTACCTGCTGTTTTAGAAAAGAGAGTCAGAGTTTAACAAAGGATCATATTCTCCTGAATAACTAAATGGGATGAACTAAATGGATACTTGAATAGCAAACCTGAAAAACTAAAGCATGATGTATGACCAAGAGATATGATTAAAAAAACGAATCTAGAGTTTATTGTACCAATACTACCCTATTAATGACTTCAAATCTCTTTAAATCTACACTAATTTTTCTATAATAAAATATTCTACAGGACAAACTATTCCACATGGCTCTTTGAAACAATGCATTTATCTTCTCGGATCTTCAACATTTCTAGGTTATATTCAGTAAAGCATTTCAATTATGTGAGAAAATGTGCCCAGCACCCTCGATATAGAATGAAAGTTTTACACCAGCAACAATGAACACTGTTGAAAAAAAATATTTAATACGTTAACCTTCAAGTAGCTTAAGGATGAAGATTTTCAATACACGTTTTAAATATAAGAAGTCCACTGCATTTATTATACAATCTGAAATTAGATACTATTTTAGGATTTTTAAAAGTCCCCAATAAGAGATATGTGATAACAAATACTGATACATGTAATTTCATATCCTGTGAAGTGGGTCATAGGAAAAATGCTGTATTTAAATCATGTAGCTCAGGTAGTTTAAAAATACAGTTTTTTAGTCTCTACACTCACATCACACACACACACACACACAATGTCTCTCTAGAAAAACAAAATGTATATATGTTCAAAGTAAGAATCTTTAGGCAATATGAAATGTTGAAAAAGACATTAAATATGTGCTCAAAGTCATTTTCATCATTGAATTTATATAATAATACAAAATACTGCCAATCAAGCTAAAATACAAACATGAGTGAGGCACTAAATATGATTGTGTTTAATGTTTTAAAATAAGGTAAAGTAAGCCTTCTTTTAACACACAAAAATTCATACTGTGTCAAGGTTTTATTCATCTTCTACTCTTGTATCTTTGTTAAATGCTGTTGTCAGCTCCACCCATTCTTTTAAATGACCATGTAAAACTCATCCGTCCACTCATTCAAGAAGTGTGTATACATCATGAACAGTAAGGTACTGGGGATAAAATTCTAGGAAACTTAAATTCTTAAGGTTCAACAAACTATATCTAATAAAAATACTATTCCTTCACTACAGGGGCATAAAACGAGGAGGTTTTCCAATCCCAGATTGGTGGACAATGATCTGTCTTTATGGATACCTTGTTCTATACTGCCACTCCGCACTGGCACCTGGGGGAGCTGTCTGCCCCTGCGGCTGCTGAAGGCTGTGTCTGCCGGAGGCGACTGCGTTGGACTTCCTTGTCGGTGTGTTCTGCAGGCAAAAGCAAAGGCAGTGATAAAGTTCCGGGGCAGCAAGGCAAAATCCTTTTCCCTTTCCTGCCACTACTGCAATAGATATATAAGCCCTAACGGGGCCACTGGAAGCAAAGTGAAATATTTTTCTTAACTTTCTAAGGATATGTGTAAAATGAGTGCTACAAAAGGGGGCTAAAGTGGGCAGGGTAACATCTGCCACACATTCTGCTTGATGACCTCCCCAACTGAGCTGAGTCAGTCACTTCCCATTAACTTTCTATGAAGTCGTGCTTTCTGGGAAAATTATTTCTTTTTGACAGTGCTGAACAAAACATGGAATTATAGCCTCTACATCATTAAAAAAATTAGTTATGAGAGGCTGTTACTTGCTGTTACTCTGAAATCAATACATAGTCTAGGATAACATACTGATAATAATTCTAGCTGCAGACACTTTCATAAATTGTTATTACACGTACTTTAGTTTTAAGTAGGGAAAATATAGAAAGGTATCTAAAATAACTGGATGCATGCTATGAAATATGTGGGTGTGAGGATTGAGAATTACGAATGGAAACTGGGGAAGCATGCACACTGCCACCTGCTGGCCTTCAATCGTTTTCTTCTAACTGAAGAACTAAAACACTTTAAGACATCTCTGAACACAAATAAAAGCTTGTCTTCTAATTGTTACATTTTTAAAGCAAATACATATTTAACTCCAAGTAATTTATCATGAAGAATTTTACATATTTAGTAAATTATATATGAATATGCCACAAACAGATGAAAGACATAACATAGCCAGATTTGATTTCCGATGACAGCTAACTGGCAGGAAGTAGAGGCTACCACCAGCACAGTGAAGATAGATGCAGGTAATAGAGGAGGTGGGAGAGGTTTCAGTGCCACAAAGAAAGGATCAAAGATTATGGTGTCAGAATGAGTGAACGCTTCGAGTGCTCAGGAAGGCACAACACCACACCAGGACCCGGAGGCAGGACATGAATGCTGGGCTGGACACGGAATAGCAACCTTGTCAGGAGCGGAGAAGGTGGCGCCGACCCTCCGGGGGCAAGGTGGTGCAGAGAACACAGTGTTCTGACACTAGAGTGCTCGCTCGACTTGGAGCGAGCGGGCGGTTTGCCCCTAATAACTGGCTGATCAGTCGCTCTGGGGGCTGCGTGTCCCCTTCTAGAAAGACATGGTGGGAGAACCCTAAAACATCAGGGCCAAGAAAGGTCTTCAGTCAACAGGTACATAATAACTTTAATACCAACACACCTGTCCAAGGAAAACCTGGTTACTCTGACAAGATAGTGATTTTGCTAGAATCAGAAAAAAACCGGTCACACAATTACTAAAATGGAATTCATATCAAATTGTGCAGTTATTTTTGCATATATGAATGTCATATACTTTTTAAAGGACAAATCTAGATTGCTTCAATGTAATCAACTTTTGTAAGTCCCACAAGGCAGAGATTTCTATCTCTTATCTCTTATTGAGCTCCATATCAAATGCCTAAACCATACAGAGAGCATATGGAGAGCAACAGCTCAGTAAAGACTGAATGAGTATAATTAGAATGCTGAGTAGTGAAACTTCAAGTACCTGCCTTCAAGATGAAATAACATTATGGGGAAATCTGTGTATTACAACATTCATAATTTTAGTTTTCAATAAACAGTCAATGCCAAATAGACAAAAAAGGAGGGATGCCTTTTGAGGCTAATACAGTATTTTTTTAAAACAAATAAAAATAGTAAGTGAGTGCTTCATTAACTTACACAATGGATTAAAGTGCAAATGATTAATATGTGAATAAAACATTCTCTCATATATAACAGTATCTGAAAAGACATCTGTTAACTTCATATGGTGCTCAAAACTGTTTTGAGGAAAACTTAATTAAGGCTTAAGAATTAAAAACTGATGTTTATACATATATATTCTATATGTATAGATATATTTTGTGTATACATACTTGTTTATGATACATGCTTTTTGCCTTTTATCATTTCAGTAGTTTACCGAAATGCATGATTATCATGCCTATTATATATTATCTCAACAGAAGGAATGAAATAACATGTCATTCTTTTAAAGCAATGTTGTAAAATTCACTTAAGTTAAAGTGTGGAAAAATAAACAGTACATATTGATCACCAAAAGTATGTTTAATGAGCGGTTTATTCAACTTGTATTAGAGTGATAATATTTCTTTAAGGTAAAATGATCTTCACAGTTGTGTTTTTGCTTTAGGATATTTCTTCCAACTTAGAACAATAAAATAGGGAAAATATCAAGTTGTATACAATAAAAAGATATACCTTAAATCTTTCACAAAGGTGCTTTTTCTCATCTTGAGCTATGGATTAATGTTTTACCAGACTTTAATTAATTCCCTGAAATCTGGAAAGTCACCCCAGTTTCCAAATTAAAAAGAGAAGTAAGTGACAATACTCTATGTATCAAAACTGTTCATTTATTCTGAATTGACTGTCACAGTAACACACTTGTAAAAAATTGATGGATATGGGAACAATTACATGACCAAGTAATTTCTAGTGATAATGAGTTTAGTCTACCATCCTTTAAAAGTCATTGTCATGAAAATAAATGTCAAGCAATCCTTATTCAAAATATACATTATGAATGTGGTTTTAAAATTAAATTTGGTTTCACCCTGGTACTGAGAAATGTTATGGATATTTTCACTAAAATCTTGTTTCATTCCTTAATGTAATTTTTAAGCAAAAGAAAAACTTGAATGTGAACTGAAATGTGAGTAATTTAGGGGGGCTGTATCTGGCACCAAACTAAGTGTCAAAAGTATACAAAGCAAATTCAGGGGCAAATCAATGGCTTCTGGGGTGAACATAATACAGCTCCAGAATATGTGACGTACGCGGTCCTCTGTGGAGCCAGAAGGAGGCTTGCTGGGCCTGAAAACAGCTTGGAGAGTTTGAGCTTAATCATGTAGCACAAGAATCTGTTTTTCCTTTGATATGAATTAAAAGCTCCTCAACAACAAAACAGTTCCTGCCACCAGCCAATCTGTCACTGGTACAGGTGCAGAAACCAAAGCAGCATAGAAAGCCACTCTGCCAGAGGATGGGAGGAATGTGGCAGCAAGGCAGTGACGGGAAGTGACACAGAGAGGGAAAAATGCAGAACTGGAAGAGAGATGAGCAAGGTTTGGAAGAGGAGAGGTAATGGCACTGGGTGTGGATTGTTTTTGGCGAAAGAAAGGAGAATTAAGAAATTCTGAGGTACAGGAGTGTAAAGCTGAGAGAATGCAGGCTCTTGAGCCTTGTGCTTTTCAATGAAGTGGGATATGCCAAGAATGTGAAGTGTGCAAAAAGGATGAAAGAGATTTAGAACAACCATGTGAGAGAATGGGCAGGGAGTGAGTAACAGATGGGAAAAATTATAAAAAGTACTTTGTTCAGATCATCAATACAGGGCCATCTGTATGCGTCAGGTGCTAGGTACATGTGTGTGACCCTGGATGCATGCATGTGCATACATATACACACATACTGATCTACACGTAGTCTTTGTATTCTTACCCCTTCCAGTATAAATATTACTATTTTATAAATGCAAAAACTGAAGGTCATAATAACTTGCAAAGAAACAAAAATATAAACTGGAGTAGAGAAAGAATCCACATAGGGCTATGGAGCTTCAGCACTTGATCCTTCTGTCTGGTAAGATAGGATTGGTTTTTGTACCATGAGGTTAAAAATAAACACTAATTTCCTATCTTAGGATTTACTCCTCATAACACAAAACAAAAGTATATGTCTAAGTACCAAATTAGAAGGACCTAACAGAATTGCTATGGGAATTTGTAGGATCAGAATAATGGAAAGTGGCATTTAATGGGAACATACTCTGCCATATACACATCAGTGTGTAGAGACTAGCTCACCATCTCCAGGTGCATACCTATTTACCACTGAGTTTATTCCACAGCTACTTTCTTCACCTAAGACCACTGTTTTGTCTTAGATTTAAACACACTTCTCATAAAAATCTTACATCTTTAGTCAGACATTTTCTATTGTTACAAGTGGACTTGCAGTAAATTGTTTCTACTCAAGCTTAAAAATATGGTGCTGGAATTTTTTTAATGATCTGATAAAGGATGGATGTGTAATGGGTTATTTAAAGTCAAGATGGCTCTTCCATGATGGGCTTGTATAGGCCAGCACATCCTCTTTCCAATAACAACAGTAAAACATAAAAGTGCACATTTAAGCAATTCTAAATACTACAATAAAAAAAAATTAGCCTACAGTTAGGATCCAGAGTGTGGATTTCACAGGAAGAAAAGTCACTGAAATCGAATCCAGAATCAAGGTTAGCAGTTCTCTCACTGAATTTACAAGAAGGGAAAAAGCTTGACTCTAAGCTAAGTTATGAATATGAAGCATGGCTTTAAAAGGCTAGGCAGAGAAGACATAAATCAGCTCTGCCTATCTTCTATCTATAACTGGTCATCAGAACTTTCAAAATAATTTCTCATGAATCTATTCCTCATGAGGTCAAGTTTGTTGAAGGCAACAATGGATCTTTAAAATCGTAATTTTACTGCAAAGTTTGGCAGAAGCTAATGCATGACTGGGTGGTACAATTCCTTCTGGGAAGCTGCTAACTCACACAAATCAACAATCAATGTCAAGGTGGCGGTGCAGTTAAGTGGCAGAATGAATGCCTACCTAACATGATGGAGACCTGGGTTCCACCCCCCCCCAAACACACATATGAATCAATGAACAAATATTCATATTGAGTCCTCATTTTACTAGCCATATGTCAACTCAAAATTTCCTACAGAAATGACAGCTAATGCAACCTAGAAAATCCAGAACAATTCTTTTCCAACTAGCTATTCAATAATCCACTTGAAAACTAGGCATGTAATTTATACTCTGATAAAAACCAATGAAGAGTTTTCATTATAATAATCAAACCTACACATATAAAATATTAGAATTTTAGTTGAGATTAAATAATGTGAAAACAAAAAAACAACTGATATTGTTTTATTACCATATCTGCCTATCTATCTTCTAACTCTTGCTAGAATTCTATGCTTCACTTCCTTCCTTAAAAGACCAATTGTTTTTCTACTCAATATTTTTTTAATCACCTAGATCTTTATTCTATTGGAAATTAAATTCTCTAAATAGTCACCATTTCCATGGACCATTAGCTAGGGGTAAATCCCATCTCTCTTTTACCCATATTCCTTGACATGTCTCACATTTACCCATTTTTCAGATCTCAACTCACTGGTTAGGATCTTATGGGAAGGTTTACTTTATGGCCATTAACTATTTTGCTTCTTAAACTTAGCACATAGTTTGGCACATATTTGTTAATTTAATGAATCACTTAATTGTATAAATTCCATCTTGATCAAGCCTAAAGTGACAGCCGAGCTTGCATCTGCCTTTGAATATTTCAATCAACCTTCCAAAATGTCAAAGTGACCTAAATTCTGGAACTCAAAGCCAATCATATTTAAAGCACATCAATGGCTCATAAAGAAATTGAGATTCATCATCATAGCATTAGCATAGCATAGCTTTAACCTCCAAGTACATCTCCAATTTTTATTTTTAGCACCCTTCTCCATCCTTTGAATTTGATTCTCCATTCCAAAATGGGTATGGTTTCCCCAAACTCAAGAAGTTATATCAAGTCTTGGTGCTTTTGCACAGTTTTGTCTAATGGAATACAGGACACTACGCCTCACATCTACTTTTATCTATATGGCTTTAGCTCCCATCTTGCTTCCGAAATGTTTTCTAACTTCATCATTATCCCCTCATTCCTCTGTTTTGATGTGCCTGTGCAAACCTCTCCACCCAGAGCTATGGCATTCATCCATCCGTACCTGTATCCTCAAACATACTCTCAGCAATTGTCAGATAAATGAAAAGTGAATGAGTATATGAGAACTGAACTTTTTAGGCGAGGTTTTTTTTCAGCTCTGTTAAAAAAGTCTTAATATCATGGACCTAAAAATACTAAAAAATTTTGTGGAACTGGATGAACTGAAAACAAAAAGTCAGTAATTCTTTTTAATTTTTACATTAACTCAGTATATATGTATAGTGGTAAAACACAAGAAGAATTCTCAAAATATTCATTTGTAGAAAAGAGATTTTTAAAGATGACATTATTCAGTAAATGCATGCCTCTCAAAATCTTGGCCTATTCCAAATACTATATGCATTGGGAACATTTAATACATCAGAAATAAAATATTAAAGTTCTAATATATATATATACAATATAAGTACTAATTTAATTCTCATTAGTAGTTAAAATTACTGTAGAGAGAAATGCATGAGATTTTTTTTAAGCCTAAGATTTAAGGACTGCCTTCAAACTGCCCTACTCTTATTGCTTCAATGAGACTATCTGACTATTCAGTGAGACACAGGGCAGGATTACCCAAAAGGATTTCTTTAAACAGCGCACCCTGGCTCTATCAGTACAGGGAGATGGTAGCACAACACAACACCAAGCCTACCTTTCTGCATCAGAGGTAGTGCCTTTTCTAGTCTGTTTTTGGATGCTAGATCTTTCAGACTTTCTGGAGTGCCTGTGGAATGAAATGTTAAAGAAATACAAAATATATGATGAATAAAGCTACAGTAACACCCTTACAATGATAAAGACAACAGACATGAAAAATGACAACTATCTTACTTTTAAATGATTATGTTGATCAGCACTTTTCAAAATTTAAAAAAAAATTAAAATTGGTGTTGGCAGAAGACATGAGTTACCAAAAGGAGACAGGAGCAGTGACAATTCATTACTTGAGACAACTGTGTCCATAGCAAGATCTAAGACGACTCCTGCTGAGAAACTCTGCCTCTCTTGATGAACACACAGACTCGATGGTGAAAGGTAAGGATGGTAACGTGATGCAGGTAATGGACAGGTGCTAAAAGACCACATGGAGGGAAGTGGAGTTTATTTATTATTTGGGGGGGAGACATTAGAAGCCAAAAGGGACTTCTCTTTAATTAGAAAGTTTTTCTATTAGTACGTTTGTAGCACATAACTTTGACATTCCTTGTGTGGAGTTGGCACATGTACATAACACATCTTAATTCCCTTTCCCTCTCCTTTTACTCCCCTTCCTCCCCACTCCCTCCATCTCTTTAATACCCTTCCCCTTTAAGAAAGACCTATCTCACTTCCTATTGTCTTTTATTTCGCTCTTTACCTATAATTAGAGCTTCTCATGTAAGAGAAACCACATAATATTTAAGCTTGTGTATCTGATTTATTTCACTTAACAATATGGTCTCAAGGTGCATCCATTTTCCTACAAATGACTCAAGTTTATCCTTCTTTATGGCAAAGTATGAATATCATTGTGTGTAAATATCACATTTTCTTCATCTGATCACCTATTCATGGGCAAATAGGTTGCTTCCAAGATTTAGCTAGTATGAATCATGCTGCTATAAACATGGGTATGCATGTATCTCTATAATATGATGACTTTAACGCTTTCAGGAAGATACCTAGAAGAATAGCTGGGCAAATGGAATTTCTAGTTTTAGCTTTTTAAGGTATCGCCATAATTATTTCTGTAGTGGTTGTACTCATTTGCATTCCCTCCAATACTGTAGAAGGGTTCCTATTTTCTCCCAAGCCTCTCCAGTATTTGTTATTATTTGATTTCTTGATGATGGCCATTCTTTCTGGGCTAAGATGGAATACTAGTGTTGTTTTAATTTGCATTTCTCTAGTGACCAGTAATGTCAAGCATTTCTTCCTGTATTTACTGGTCATTTGCACTTCTTCTTCTGTGAAGTGTGTATTCATTTCACTTGCCCATTTTTTGATTGGGTCTTTTATTTTTGGGGGGGTCTAATTTTTTTCAGCTCTTTATATATTTTAGATATTATTCCTCTGAGAAACACCTAGCAAAATATTTTTCCCCTTCTGCCAGTTGTCTTTTCACTCTGTTGTTTCTTTTGCTGTGCAGAAGCTTTTTTATTTTATATAACATTTGTTAATTCTTGATACTATTTCCTGTGCAACTGGGGTTCTCTTCAGAAAGTTCTTGCCTATGCCTATGTCTTCAAGAGTATCACCTATCAAAAGTATCTTCCACAAGTTAAGTGTTTCCAATTTAACATTTAGTTCTTCATTCCATTTTGATTCTATTTTGGTTAATGTTGGTAGATATAGGTCTAGAACCAATCTTCTCATGTGGATAGCCAGTTTTCCCAACACCATTTATTAAAGCAGCTAACATTTCTCTATTGTATGTTTTTGGTCCCTTTGTCAAAGATCAAATAGTTGAGAATGTGTAGAGTTGTTTCTAGAACCTCTACTTTGTTCCATTAATCTTCATGTCTGTTTTTGTGCCAGTATTATCCTGTTTTTCTTATCACTGTAGCTCTGTAATATAACTTCAAGTCTGGGATGGTGATGCTTTCTGCTTTGCTTTTGTTACAAAGAACTGCTTTTGCTATTCAGGGGTTCTTGTCTTTCCATATGAATTTTAAGATTGTGTTTCTGGGGTTCTGTGAAGAATGCTGTTGGTATTTTGACTGGGTTTGTATGAAATCTGTAGGTCAATTTTGAAAGTATGGCTATTTTGACTTTATTCATTCTGCCTATTTATGAAACGTGTATCTTTCCATTTTGTCATGTCCTTTTTGATTTCCTTTTTCAAAGTACTATAGTTTTCAATGTAGAGATCTTTTACTTCCTTAAGTTAATTCCTAAGTATTTTTCTTGGTGCTATTACAAATGGTATTTTTTCCTAATTTCTTTCTCAGTGTGTTCATGATCAGTGTACAGTGTACATTTTTTTCATGTTAATTTTGTATCCTGCTACATTAATGAATTTGGTTATTAATTCTAACAGTCTTTTGGTGGATTTTTTTGGGTTTTCCATGTACAGGATCATGTCATGTGCAAATAATGATAATCAGACTTTTTCCTTTCCCTTTTCTTTTTCTTGACTAATTGCTCTTGCTAATGTTTCAAGTACTGTGTTGTACAGAAGTGGTGACAGTGAACATCTTTCTCTTGTTCCTAATTTTAGAGGGAAAGCTCTCAGGGTTTTCCCCATTAAATATGATTTTGGCAGTAGGTTTGTCATAAATGGCTTTTTCAGATTAAGATATTCTATACCTATTTTCTTCACTGTTTGTTAGCATGAAAAGACACTGGTTTTGTCAAAGGCTTTTTATGCATCTGTTGAGATGCTCATGCAATTTTTGTCCTTGCTTCTGTTCACATAATGTATTGCATTTAATGATTTGTGTATGTTGAATCATTCTTGTATCCCTGGATGAAGTCTACCTGGCCATGATGTATGATCTTTTTGGTAATTAAATGCATTGTTTCTCAGTGTCTTGTTGAGGATTTCTGCACCTATATTCATTAAAGAAATTGTTTCATTGTTCTCTTTTTTGGTGGGATCTTTGTCTGGTTTTAGAATCAGAGTAATGTTAGCTTCAATGAATGACTTTGGGAGAACTCTCTATTTCATTAACGAGCCTAAGGAGTGCCAGGTCTTGCTATGTAGCTCAGGATGGCCTTGAAGTCCCTATGTAGACAAGGCAGGTCTCAAATTCTTATAGATCCTCTTGTTTCAGCCTGAGTGCCGGGATTACAGATACACACCACCAAATCCAGCTCCCTTAACTTTTGAAAGCTCAAATTTAGTGCTACAGAGGTTTTCCTCATCAACAAAATGTATGACGAGAAAGAAAATGCTATGGTGAAAGATGACAACGTAAGTGAAAGTGTTCAAGTTGATTAAAATTATTTTGTTATCAGAAAGAAGCTTTGGTAGTGATGCAACATTTAAAAAAGCGAATCACATGTCACAAATCAAAGAATAAAGTCCTCAATTCACTTTCTAAAAGTATATATACATAAACTCAACATTTATAACTAAAATGGAATATATATATGAACTTTATTATGTACATTTCAGGTATACAATATTATGTTATAAGATGTGCCTATGTAGCAAAATCCTTACTATAATGGAATAAACTGATCTATCCACCATCTCACATATTTGCCCATAGAAATGCTATATATTAGAAATAAATTAATATAAAATATTATGGTCTAGAAACATAACTTTAAAGAAACCACAAGAATGTATACTTTTATAAGGATTTTGAACCTTCTACAATTCACACTTATTTTCTTTCCTGAAATCCCTTCCAACAATGTTAAGACAAATGTCCATCTTCATATTCATCACAGACATCCTAACCAAGTTTCCATTATATATGAATTCCTGCCAGGGATTAGAAATAAATCAAAATACTACAAAGTTGGCTTTCACAAGGAGTACAGACTTCTGTGGCCAACCTTTTCTGTCTCATCTACTTCTCCAGAAACTTGACTCATGTTATCTTTCTCCTCCAATGCAGGGTTTCAGCTCTGTGTTCTTCAGTCTCCTTTGACTCTGACAACCCACTTCTGAGATAAAAAAAAAAAGTGAGAGAAAGAGGAGTAATCTCTCACCATATTCCCTTCCCAGTTGGAGAAAAGGGTACTTGATATACTAGAGGATAACTCTATGGCAGGCACTGATTTATTTATTATCCATGACAATCCTTTTTTATTATTTGTTTTTTTGAGACAGGGTCTCACTATATAGTTTAGGTTGGTCTTCAACTCATGGTGATCCTTTAAGAAGGCATCATCTTCATTTACTCCATTTTACAGATAAGAGAACAGGTTCAGGGCAAGGCCACTTAGAAAATAGCAAAGCTGGAAAGACAAGTCTGTCTGAATCCTACAACATATCTTCTATACACTGTCCAGAGAGAGTAGAGAAGGTATATTCTGGTGCACATCCCATTGCTGCACTCTTGCTCAAGAAGAGAAGAAACCATGAAATCTGGGACCAGCTTGGAAAGCCCTAATGAAGCAAGTTGACTTTATTGCTCAGGAGAGGGGAATCAGGGGATGGTAAAATAACAGAGAAGGACACAGCACATAACTCAAATTAATGGAAGATGGAAGCTCTGCTCCTGACGCACAAGGAAGAAAGGTACAAGCATGTCGATGTGAAGAAAGGAGAGGAGAAAGACAGGACAAGTGGGTCTGCAAGCCCAGGAGGCATTTGAGCTCAAATTAAAAATTATTATATCACTCTGGTTGATTTATCCTTGGTCCCAACAGTTCTTAGAACAACTGTCTAGGAATAAAAAATGTTCCTTTTCCCATCTTCAGCACAGGAAAACAGAGGAGAATATAGCTTGAGGGAGACCACGCAACTCACATTCAGTAAGGATGTTTTACTCTTTCCGTCATGCAACAAACACTTGCTGAGTGAGTGCATGTGCCATTAAGAGCCTAAAATATTTGTGAACAGAACAGACACATATTCTGCCTTCAACCAACTCACAGTTTACTAGCGGAGAGCAAAAAAGGAGTAGACCAAAAGAATCTCATTAAAGTACACTATATAGTATGGGAGGTGATAAATGATAACAACAAAGAAATAAACCAGGGCAAATGGGTAAGAAGTGTGAAGAGGGAAGTTAGAATGGGTGTAGGTTCAATTTTTAATTAAGGTAGACAGGAAAGGACAACTGA